AGGCAGGAACGGCCTTCCAAGGGTGGAGGAGCTTTTCTAGAGGTGAGGAGCTTTCCAGTAGAGAGGGGGCCAACCAACAAAGGATAGCACTCCTAGGCATTTTTAGGATTTTTTCAGGTTTAGAGAGAATCTTTCCAAGATAGATTGGCCTTTTCAAGGCTTGAAGGGCTTGCCAGGGATTGTGGGTTTTTTGTTTTGTAAGAGTAGAATGGAAATTTCCAAGGGTAGAGGGGCTTTTTCATTGGCGGAAAGGGATTTCAGCAGGAAAGAGAGGCTTTTTAGAGGTCAAAATGGACTTTTCAGGGCAGGAGGGGCTTTTCTAGAGGTGAAGGAGCTTTCCAGTTAAAGGGGGCCAACCTTCACTTTAGGGAGGAGGGCCTATACAGGCGTAGGGAGGCTCTTTCCAGGGGAATCATGGTCTTTCAAGGCCACCCCGCCAAGGCAGGAATGGCCTTCCAAGGGTGGAGGAGCTTTTCTCGAGGTGGAGGAGCTTTCCAGTAGAGAGGGGGCCAACCAACAAAAGATAGCACTCCTAGGCAGGAGGATTTTTAGGGAGGAGGGCTTTTTCAGGTTTAGAGAGAATCTTTCCAAGATAGATTGGCCTTTTCAAGGCTTGAAGGGCTTGCCAGGGATTGTGGGTTTTTTGTTTTGTAAGAGTAGAACGGAAATTTCCAAGGGTAGAGGGGCTTTTTCATTGGCGGAAAGGGATTTCAGCAGGAAAGAGAGGCTTTGTAGAGGTCAAAATGGACTTTTCAGGGCAGAGGAGGGGCTTTTCTAGAGGTTGAAGGAGCTTTCCAGTTAAAGGGGGCCAACCTTCACTTTAGGGAGGAGGGCCTATACAGGCGTAGGGAGGCTCTTTCCAGGGGAATCATGGTCTTTCAAGGCCACCCCGCCAAGGCAGGAACGGCCTTCCAAAGGTGGAGGAGTTTTTCTAGAGGTGAAGGAGCTTTCCAGTAGAGAGGAGGCCAACCAACAAAGGATAACACTCCTAGTTAGAAAATTTTTTAGGGAGGAGGGCTTTTTCAGGTTTAGAGAGGTTCTTTCCAAGAGATGGGCCTTTTCAAGGCTTGAAGGGTTTGCCAGGGATTGTGGGTTTTTTGTTTTGTAAGAGTAGAATGGAAAATTTCCAAGGGTAGAGGGGCTTTTTTCATTGGCGGAGAGGGATTTCAGCAGGAAAGAGAGGCTTTTTAGAGGTCAAAATGGACTTTTCAGGGCAGGAGGGGCTTTTCTAGAGGTGAAGGAGCTTTCCAGTTAAAGGGGGCCAACCTTCACTTTAGGGAGGAGGGCCTATACAGGCGTAGGGAGGCTCTTTCCAGGGGAATCATGGTCTTTCAAGGCCACCCCGCCAAGGCAGGAACGGCCTTCCAAAGGTGGAGGAGTTTTTCTAGAGGTGAAGGAGCTTTCCAGTAGAGAGGAGGCCAACCAACAAAGGATAACACTCCTAGTTAGAAGAATTTTTAGGGAGGAGGGCTTTTTCAGGTTTAGAGAGGTTCTTTCCAAGAGAGATGGGCCTTTTCAAGGCTTGAAGGGTTTGCCAGGGATTGTGGGTTTTTTGTTTTGTAAGAGTAGAATGGAAATTTCCAAGGGTAGAGGGGCTTTTTCATTGGCGGAGAGGGATTTCAGCAGGAAAGAGAGGCTTTTTAGAGGTCAAAATGGACTTTTCAGGGCAGGAGGGGCTTTTTCTAGAGGTGAAGGAGCTTTCCAGTTAAAGGGGGCCAGCCTATGTAGGGTAGCACTGCTTTAGGGAGGAGGGCCTATACAGGGGTAGGGAGGCTCTTTCCAGGGGGATCATGGCCTTTCAAGGGTTGAAGGAGGGGCCTTTCGGGAAGGGGAGAGGGGCTTTCAAGTTGTGGAGGATCTTTTTAGAGGTTGAAAGGGGCTTTCCAAGAGTGGCAGAGCTTTTTCAGAAAGGGTAGAGCTTTCCAGAGAGATGGTGCCATCCAATGTAGAATTGCCTTCCTGGGCTGGAGACCATTTAGGGAGGAGAGCCTGTACATGTGTAGGGAGGTTCTTTCCAGAGGATTCAGGGCCTTCCAAGAGTTGAGGGGCTTGCTATAGATGGTGGGGTTCTGTAGGAGTGAAAAGGGGCTTTCCAAGGGCAGAGGGTTTTTTTTTTTTGTGATGAAGGGGCATTTCAGCAGGGGAGAGGGGCTTCTAGTTGTGGAAGGAATTTTAAGGTGTTGAAAGGGACTTTCCAAGGGAGGGAATGTTTTGCAAAGAGGAAGGAGCTTTCCAAGAGAGATGGACCCAGCCAACATAGCGTAGCACTCCTGGGCTGGAGGACCTTTAGGGAAGGAGTGCTTGTACATGCATATAGAGGTTCTTTCCAGGAGATTCAGGGCCTTCTAAGAGTTGAGGAGCTTGCCAGGGATGTTGGGGTTTTGTAGAAGTGGAAAGGGGCTTTCCAGTGGTAGAGGGACTGCTTTTCTAGAGATGGAGAGGTGGAGCTATCCAAGGTAGGGTAGCAGTCCTGCGCTGGAGGACCTTTGGGAAGGAGGGTCTCTACAGGTGTAAAGAGGTGCTTTCCAGGGAAGCCATGGGTCAAGGGTTTTGCTAGAGCATGTGGGTTTTTGTATAAATGTAAAGGGGCTCTTCGAGGGCGGTGAGGTTTTTTCTGTGATGGTGGATTCCAGGAGCAGAGGGGCTTCCAAAATACAATAATAGTTTCACAACGGCCTGTGAAGACTGCTTCATTGCTGCAAACTGTTAAATCGAAAACTCCAGGTACCTGAAGCTGCTGAGAAGCCGCTCCTGCATGCCTGTACACTGTTATCAGAGTGAATCTTTAGTCTGTTGGAGACCAATTCCCGGAGGATTAGGACCTGAGAAAAGGCCCCTCGCTGAAACGTGAATTCACACAGCGAGAGGCGGTCGTGTCGGATTAACCCCGATGCTTGTGAAGGAGTAGAAGTGCAGTGTGCGGCAGAAGGGATCTAAGATTAATTAAGTCTGATTGTATCATAAGACACGGATCTGATTTTCCAATCCCGGCAGGGCCACGGTGTGAAAGAGGTGCGTAGGGGGAGTGCTGGGAATGTGGATATCCTCTCCTTGTTCCCCAATGTTCCTGATTTCCCAAAAAGCCTGCAGATTACAGAGAGGCGCTGCCAGACAATCATGTAGAGATCAGGGTGACCCAATCTCTCTGATATAATCTGTTGTCCACCATAAATGGTGGTTTATGATCTGGCTATAGGAGTCACCTTGGCAGAGAACAGAATAAAGTGCTTTTGATGACCGATTATTGGAAACAATAATACAGAATTTAGCATTAAAGAGGAACTCCAGGCAGTTTTTTTTTTTTTCAATTTTGGTTCCCTGCCCCCCCAAATTCCCCAACTTGCTCCAGGCTCCAGCACTGTCCCCAACTTGCTCCTCAATCCAACGCTGGTAGAAGGCATCTCAACATTCTGCCCGTTTCCTGCGAGCCCAGCCTGTTATTTACACCCTCCCCCACCCCGGGGTAGGGGCGCATCATCACACAGGCTGTACTTAGTGCATTCCAGGGCTGAAGCGCCGCCTACAGGTCATTGTGTGAGAACCATTCAGTCCTGGAAAAATGCCCACTCCCACCAGCAATGGAAGAAAGAGAAATGGTCAAGTCACCGAGGAGAAGGCATCTCAACATTCTGCCCGTTTCCTGCGAGCCCAGCCTGTTATTTACACCCTCCCCCACCCCGGGGTAGGGGCGCATCATCACACAGGCTGTACTTAGTGCATTCCAGGGCTGAAGCGCCGCCTACAGGTCATTGTGTGAGAACCATTCAGTCCTGGAAAAATGCCCACTCCCACCAGCAATGGAAGAAGGAGAAATGGTCAAGTCACCGGGGAGAAGGCATCTCAACATTTTGCCCGTTTCCTGCAAGCCCAGCCTGTTATTTACACCCTCCCCCACCCCGGGGTAGGGGCGCATCGTCACACAGGCTGTACTTAGTGTATTCCAGGGCTGAAGCGCCGCCTACAGGTCATTATGTGAGAACCATTCGGTCCTGTAAAAATGCCCACTCCCACCAGCAATGGAAGAAGGAAAAATGGTCAAGTCACTGGGGAAGGGGAAGAAGAGGAGACTTAAGCGAGGAAGAGGGGGGAGTAAGTTGCAACCCTGGTGTTGTGCATTAAATGCTCCAATTGGAAAGCCAAAGTCGATCCCCATTTCTGCTTCCTCTCCAGACTCTTGTGTTGAAAATAGAAAGAAATGTTCCTCGTAGTTTGTTATGTATGGGGCTGTGTACCTGCAGACCTGTCAGGATGCCCATGCTGACCACAGTCCACAGCCAGAAGCACCTACAATGGGCACGTGAGCATCAAAACTGGACCACAGAGCAATGGATGAAGGTGGCCCGGTCTGATGAATCACATTTTCTTTTACATCATGTTGATGGCCGGCGAGGAAAAGGGGTGGGGGGTGTCACTTACCTGGAGAAGGTATTCTACCAGGATGCAGTATGGGAAAAGACAAGCTTGGTGCCAGATACCACAGCCTACCTTCAGAGGTCTAGTTGGGTCCAGGGCTGTCTTAATGCATGGGCACCAGGTGCCAGGGGGCCCCATGATAATCATGCATTACATTATACTTACAACTGTCCCGAATTTGCCGGGACAGTCACGCTTTTTACTAAGTACTGTGCCCTCCTGATCCCAATATTGTGCCTCCTGTGTCCCCCTGTACTGTGCCCTTCTGTCTCCCCCCAGGGGCCCATGATGCTATTAGGACGGCCATGAATGGGTCAGGGCTGCTTTGGCAGTAATAGGGGGACCAATTCAATAAAAGGTGGGAGGTCCTACAGTGATGACCGACGGGTGTAAGTTTTCATGCCAAGTCCATGCATGCTCAGCAATGAGTCGGTGTCCCCCTTCCAGGTATTTATTACCTCTCACAAAGATCACAGGACTCCCCCTGACAATGTCTCCACCTGATTTTCTCCCCAGGAAGTCGGCGCCATCTTTGTTCAGCACTGACTATCTGAACTCTCAGGCATACAGTACCTCTGGAGCTCTTCTCACCCTACCAACCTTACTAGAAGGGTAAAGGGGGACACAGAAGGATCACTTACCACTGAAGACAGGTCCACATTGACCATCCTCCGGTCATCCAAGTCCACCGGCTGTAGACCAGCCACATTCAGCTTCACCGAGGAGCTTCTGTACACGAAACTCAGCAGCCAATCCCCTCTGTAGGACAGGATGAGACTCATCAGTACAGCGCCACCACCAGGGGAAAGGTCCGAGGAAAACGCAGCGGGCGATCGCCAGCACTGCCGTCCTCCCAGGAGATAGGTGAGGGATTTTTCAGCCATCCTTGTCATAGATGCAGGACCCGATTTTTTTTTTTAAAGCGCCTCAGTAGGGGGCTGCATGTGTTACTCATGACAAATCGGGTCACATGTTCAATATTTACGTTGTCGATGGTTTTCCAGTATGGGGTTGTCGGATTGGTTGCTGAAAAGCAGGGGTCTCCAAACTATGGCCCTCCAGGTGTTGAAGTACTACACGTCCCATCATGCCTCTGGGAGTCTTGCCTGTGGCTGTCAGGGTCTTGCAAGGTCTCATGGGACTTGCAGTTCCTCAACACCTGGAGGGCCATAGTTTGGACACCCCTGCTGTAGAGTACTGACCAGGGGCGGAATGACAACTCATGGGGCCCCCGAGCAATAGGGGATCATGGGGCCCCTGTGTCCTAGCCCACACTCAAACCACACCCAAAAAAGCCTATGAAAGGTAACAAGGGCATCTCATGGGGCTCCCTACAGACCCCGGGCCCTAGGGCAGTGCCCAAATGGTCAGTCCGCCCCTGGTACTGACAGTTCCGAGGTAAAGGGAACCTGTCCACAGAGAATTCCTTGTGTATATTGTGTTTTTCTTGCTGTCCTACTGACCTTGAAAAGGTATGCTGACCAGGAGGTTTTGACTTCACTGGCTGCATGCTTGACAACACACATAGTTAGTTTGTTCCTGACAGGTGCTCTTTAACCACTTGGCTACTGGACTGATACGGACATTTCTGTCATACATGTAAAAATCTGCATTTTTTTTTTTTTTGCTATAAAGTTACTTAAAACCCCAAACATGATATATTTTCTGGCAGCAGAGACCCCGGATAATAAAATGCTGCTAGTTCCAGTTTATGTCACATGGTATTTGCACATCGGTTTTTCAAATGCAAACTTTTTGGAATAACTACACTTTACCAGTACAGGAATAATGACCTCCCCCACCGTGGGGACTGGTACCAGTACAGGATTAGCGGATCTCCCCCACCGTGGGGGACTGGTACCAGTACAGGAATAATGACCTCCCCCACCGTGAGGACTGGTACCAGTACAGGAATAATGACCTCCCCCACCGTGGGGACTGGTACCAGTGCAGGATTAGAGGATCTCCCCCACCGTGGGGACTGGTACCAGTACAGGAATAATGACCTCCCCCACCGTGGGGACTGGTACCAGTACAGGAATAATGACCTCCCCCAACGTGGGGACTGGTACCATACAGGAATAATGACCTCCCCCACCGTGGGGACTGGTACCAGTACAGAATAATGACCTCCCCCACCGTGGGGACTGGTACCAGTACAGGATTAGAGGATCTCCCCCGCCGTGGGGACTGGTACCAGTGCAGGATTAGAGGATCTCCCCCGCCGTGGGGACTGGTACCAGTACAGGATTAGCGGATCTCCCCCGCCGTGGGGACTGGTACCAGTACAGGATTAGCGGATCTCCCCCCGCCGTGGGGACTGGTACCAGTACAGGATTAGCGGATCTCCCCCGCCGTGGGGACTGGTACCAGTACAGGAATAATGACCTCCCCCACCATGGGGACTGGTACCAGTACAGGAATAATGACCTCCCCCACCGTGAGGACTGGTACCAGTACAGGAATAATGACCTCCCCCACCGTGGGGACTGGTACCAGTACAGGAATAATGACCTCCCCCACCGTGGGGACTGGTACCAGTGCAGAATTAGAGGATCTCCCCCACCGTGGGGGCTGGTACCAGTACAGGAATAATGACCTCCCCACCGTGGGGACTGGTACCAGTACAGGATTAGGGATCTCCCCCACCGTGGGGACTGGTACCAGTACAGGATTAGAGGATCTCCCCCGCCGTGGGGACTGGTACCAGTACAGGATTAGAGGATCTCCCCCGCCGTGGGGACTGGTACCAGTACAGGAATAGAGGATCTCCCCCGCCGTGGGGGCTGGTACCAGTACAGGATTAGCGGATCTCCCCCGCCGTGGGGACTGGTACCAGTACAGGAATAATGACCTCCCCCACCGTGGGGACTGGTACCAGTACAGGAATAATGACCTCCCCCACCGTGGGGACTGGTACCAGTACAGGAATAATGACCTCCCCCACCGTGGGGACTGGTACCAGTACAGGATTAGCGGATCTCCCCCACCGTGGGGACTGGTACCAGTACAGGATTAGAGGATCTCCCCCGCCGTGGGGACTGGTACCAGTACAGGATTAGAGGATCTCCCCCACTGTGGGGACTGGTACCAGTACAGGATTAGAGGATCTCCCCCCACCGTGGGGACTGGTACCAGTACAGGATTAGAGGATCTCCCCCGCCGTGGGGGCTGGTACCAGTACAGGATTAGCGGATCTCCCCCGCCGTGGGGACTGGTACCAGTACAGAATAATGACCTCCCCCACCGTGGGGACTGGTACCAGTACAGGAATAATGACCTCCCCCACCGTGAGGATTGGTACCAGTACAGGGAATAATGACCTCCCCCACCGTGGGGACTGGTACCAGTACAGGAATAATGACCTCCCCCACCGTGGGGACTGGTACCAGTGCAGGATTAGCGGATCTCCTCCCCCCGCCGTGGGGACTGGTACCAGTACAGGATTAGCGGATCTCCCCCACTGTGGGGACCGGTACCAGTACAGGATTAGCGGATCTCCCCCACTGTGGGGACCGGTACCAGTGCAGGATTAGCGGGATCTCCCCCGCCGTGGGGACTGGTACCAGTACAGGATTAGCGGATCTCCCCCGCCGTGGGGACTGATACCAGTACAGGATTAGCGGATCTCCCCCCCGCCGTGGGGACTGGTACCAGTGCAGGATTAGCGGATCCCCCCCGCCGTGGGGACTGGTACCAGTACAGGATTAGCGGACTGGACTGTAGGAATCCGCGCTGGGAACGCTGTCATGTGACATAGCGCTGGTACCCCCCTCCCCCGCTATCTCTGGCTCCCGGATCTATTCCCGGCCATCTGTAATCAGTGTCATTGTTTACTGCATTATTCCTCCTCCATCTCCCCGGCACACAGGAACACACAATGTGGTGAGACACTCAGAGATGGAACATATTTACTCCCCGCTTTTATATACGCTGCTTGTCACATTCCCCACAATGCACCGGGGCGCAGGCAATCTGTCCGTGCTGCGAACCAATTCATGTTCCCCGAATGATGCCTGAATGCACCGATCGCCTCTCCTACCCTCGCCTGCAACCTGATCGGCTACGGGCAACACAGACAGTGCACGTTTCAGACACCTCCCCATGGAAGCCTTGCTGCCACCCCTGATGTACAGATCCCGGCCGTGTCCTGGCAGAAAGTGAGAAAGTGAGAAAGTGAGAGCGTCTCTCTGATATCCGACATTTCTGTGATCGGTGAGAATGTAACAACCGTTTCCTATGAAAATTTCCCCAGAATCAGCGCAAAGAATCCCCGATATTTACTAAGATGTTTATTTCTTAACCACTTCCAGTCCGGACACTTCCCCCTCCCCCCTTCCAGTCCGGACACTTCCCCCTCCCCCCTTCCAGTCCGGACACTTCCCCCCCCCCTTCCAGTCCGGACACTTCCCCCTCCCCCCTTCCAGTCCGGACACTTCCCCCCCCCTTCCAGACCGGACACTTTCCCCCCCCTTCCAGTCCGGACACTTTCAGCCCCTTCCAGTCCGGACACTTCCCCCTCCCCCCTTCCAGTCCGGACACTTTCCCCCCCATTCCAGTCCAGACACTTTCCCCCCCTTCCAGTCCGGACACTTTCCCCCCCTTCCAGTCCGGACACTTTCCCCCCTTCCAGTCCGGACACTTTCCCCCCCTTCCAGTCCGGTCACTTTCACCCCCTTCCAGTCCGGACACTTTTCCCCCCTTCCAGTCCGGACACTTTCCCCTCCTTCCAGTCCGGACACTTTCCCCCCCTTCCAGTCCGGACACTTTCAGCCCCTTCCAGTCCGGACACTTTCCCCTCCTTCCAGTCCGGACACTTTCCCCCCCTTCCAGTCCGGACACTTTCACCCCCTTCCAGTCCGGACACTTTCCCCCCTTCCAGTCCGGACACTTTCCCCCCCTTCCAGTCCGGACACTTTCAGCCCCTTCCAGTCCGGACACTTTCCCCCCCCCTTCCAGTCCGGACACTTTCCCCCCCCTTCCAGTCCGGACACTTTCCCCCCCTTCCAGTCCGGACACTTTCCCCCCCCTTCCAGTCCGGACACTTTCCCCTCCCCCCTTCCAGTCCGGACACTTTTCCCCCCCCCCCCCCCTTCCAGTCTGGACACTTTCCCCCCCCCTTCCAGTCCGGACACTGTCCCCCCCCCTTTACAGTCCGGACACTTTCCCCCCCCTTCCAGTCCGGACACTTTACCCCCCCTTCCAGTCCGGACACTTTCCCCTCCCCCCTTCCAGTCCGGACACTTCCCCCCCCCCCCCCCCTTCCAGTCCGGACACTTTCCCCCCCCCCTTCCAGTCTGGACACTTTCCCCCCCCCCCCTTCCAGTCTGGACACTTTCCCCCCCCCCCCCCTTCCAGTCCGGACACTTTCCCCTCCCCCCTTCCAGTCCGGACACACTCCCCCCCCCCCCCTTCCAGTCCAGATTTTTTCACCCTCTTCCAGTCCGGACGCTACCCCCCCCCCCCCCCCTTCTTCCATCCAAAATTTTTTCACCCCCTTCCGGTTTGAATGCTTCCCCCCCCCCCCTTCCTGCCCAGGCCAATTTTCAGCTTTCAGCACTATCACACTTTGAATGACAATTGCGCGGTCATGCAACACTGTACCCAGATGAACTTTTTAGCATTTTTTTGAGACAGATAAAGCTTTATTTTGGTGGTATTTAAATTAAAAAGTCCAAAAATTTTGCAAATAAATAATATTTCATCATAAATCTCAGCCAAAATTTATTCCGTTATCTTTTTAGGAAAAAAAAACCCAAATTAGTTTATAACCAAAAATTATAATTAAAACATTTTTTTTAAACATTTTTATTTTTTTTTTTATTTTATTTTATTATTTTTTTTTACATACTGTCACCCTAGCAGTGCAGTCACCATGGTGACACTGTACTACTTGTGGGGGGTGATGAAGATTTTTTTTTTTTTTTTACACCGATTGCTTTTATACCCAATAATTTCTCCTTCTCTCTGGCTGCATTCTTGCAGCCATTGAGAAATGCTGTGAGAGCTGTGATTGGTCACAGCTTGTCACATGGTACAAGGCTGTTGTGAATGGCCCTGTACCATGTGACCTCTGTGATCATTCACAGATTTCACACGTAGTAAGCAATGATGTCAGAAGTGACATCTTGCTTACTACTCTGCATGTGATCACTGCTTGGCCAATCAGTGATCACATGGTCGGGACCTCACACAGAGGTCCCGTACGACGATCGGTGTTCCTATGTGTTTGGAGGACACAGTGGGTACCAGATCGCGGTGCTGCGCGCTCCCAGGGAACTCGCACAAGCAGGGGACGGGGAGGCCGTTTATAAACAGCCACCCGCCCCTGCACTGCCACCGTCCGGTTCCGTTTATATACAACGGGAAGTGGCTAATATCATTGGCTCCATCTAGTGGCTATAATGTAGTATTTTCCCCCATTGAGGTATTTTGGGTACATACCGCATTATGGCCACTAGATGGAGCTGATAATCCTAGGAAGTAAAAATTTGGTAAAAAGATGGGGAGTCTTTGTGAATACGGAGCTATTTTGCTCATAAATAGATTCCAATGTGCTCTAAACGATCGGTGAGACGATTTACACACCTGCAGTAACCATTAATGATCCGTCCGGCTACAACGCGGGTCAGGGGTTTCCATCTCTTGACATCTCCTTCCACCGGGGCCCCCAGCAGCACCACGTCCTCTATAATCCCCTCTGAGCCTGAAATCAGACATGGAGATCGATCAGAGATTGAGTCCATCCCTCTAGGGGGGAGGAAGGATGCATGCAGTGCAGCGGTCTCTTCTCCCTCCCCCAGCAGCGCCCTCTAGAGGCCATGGTGCCAGCCTTTGGGATTAATGAGCCTAGAAGAGGTCTATGGAGGCAGGACAACGACTTCCTATTGTAGGCGGAGCCTCTGCTATAAGCAACTCCTGACCGAGTTGTCAGCTAAGTAAGCGGGAGAACATTTGTTTGTTGGTGTTCGGTCCAGGAATTGCTTTCACTTCTTCTCCTCACTCTCTATTAGACGATCATTTCGGATCGATTTGTTAGGTTACTAATTTCATTTTGTTGCATTTGTAACGAAATTCGTTTTTTTTTTGTTTCGTTTATTCGTTTTCGAATGGTTCAAGCTATTCGAAAATCGAATTCGGATCAAAAATGCTGAATTGATTGAAATTCATTGTGAATAGCTGGTTCTATTCTATCACACGGCTATAATCATTCTATTCCTTTTATTCATTCTATTCTATTACACGGCTATATTCATTCTATTTCTATGTTTTTCTATTCTTTTATTCATTCTATTCTATCCTTTTACACGGCTATATTCATTCTATTCTATTAGATAGCTATGTTAGTTCATTTTTCTATTCTATCCTATTACACGGCTATATTCATTCTATTCTATCCTATGGCTATATTGATTCTATTCTATTCAATTAGATGACTTTTATTCATTCTATTCTATCCTATTACACGGCTATATTCATTCTATTCTATTACACGGCTATATCATTCTATTCATTCTATATTATTCTATTCACGGCTATACTCATTCATTCTATTTATTACACGGCTATATTCATTCTATTCTATCCTTTTATTCATTCTATTCTATTTTATTCCTTTTACACGGCTATATTCATTCTATTCTATTCTATACATCCTATACTCATTCTACTATTTATTCATTCTATTCTATCCTATGACTATATTCATTCTATTCTACTCAGCTATATGGCTATATTCTATTCTATTCTATTAGATAGCTATGTTATTCTATTCTATTCTATTACATGGCTATATCATTCTATTCTATCCTTTTATTCATTCTATTCATCCTTTTATTACAATGGCTATACTCATTCTATTCTATCCTTTTATTCATTCTATTCTATCCTTTTATTCATTCTATTCTATTACACGGCTATATTCATTCTATTCTATTCAATGGCTATATTCCTTATATATGTTTACATTGCAAATTTTTTTTTTGGATTTGTTATTTCGGGAGTCATTTAATTTCTTTAGTTTGGATTTGTTCAAATTTTTGTTAAAATTGTCATTTGGAAATTCGGATATTTTGTCAGATTTTCGATGTGACCCGCACATGTCTGCTCTCTATGGGGAACGGAGACCTAGGGGAGGGAAGGTCAGGTAGGTATTGACTTTAAAGCGGTAATGAACCCAAAACCAAAAAAGGTCAGATATTGCAGCCTACCAATCAGTAGATGTGGCGTCTGCATTAGTTTTCTTTTTTTATGCTTTCTCCTCCCGTTTTCACCTGGTGATCTGGCCAGTAACACACCTCCTGTATTAGAGCACTTTTATAAGGGAGAGGGAGAATGAATATGAGTGTGTTTGAGGGGGGGAGTGTTGGGTGGACTACCAGATTTAAATACACTAACACATTAAAGCCAAACTCCAGGTCACACTTTATAAGCAGTTACAGCAAAGTTTTACATAAATCAAAGCTGATCATTGTAAGCACTCCTGTCAGTGGTGCATGGGTTTTTCAACCCTCTGACTGCTACATCTGCAGGGCAGCTTGTTTTGTTGAAAAACAGCAGACCTACCAGCTGGACCACCAGGCAAAATAAAAGAAGAAAAAAAAAGGCCTAAAAAAGAAAACTAATGCAGCCATCGCATTTTATGATCGGTAAGCTGTAATATTTGGGTTCACTAGCGCGTTTAGGGAAGCGGAACGTTCTGACGGGAGCGCAGCCTGCGATGTTTCCTGGATAGAATTCGCCTTCCGCTGACACATTTCTCTTGTTGTAGAAGGACAGAGTCTCCGTACCGTCTGCGGTGAGAAGCGGCCGCCTTATCTCCCAGAGGTAGGTGACCGATGGAGGGACCTACCGCTTTCCTGCGCCAGTTCCTGCAGGCAAAAGTAAATGACTCGAGCGCCGAGACTGAAGCCGATCAGAGTCACCGGTCTGTGTCCCTGGAAAAGGAGAAGAAATGTCCAAATATCGACCAACCAATCCCCACCCGAGACATGACGGGGTGACAGACGTGTCCCTAAAAGTACATTATTATCCAATAAAAACACATTGTATTTGTCTTGCATTCATCTCACCGTCTATGTGCCCCCCCACTGTCTATGTGCCCCCCCACTGTCTATGTGCCCCCATCCAATACAATTCTACCATTCTCTGTACTATGATCAGATAAATGAGTGATTGCACACAATGCCTGCCTACACAAAACACCCCCCCCCCCCCCCCTTCTCTGCCTGCTTCCCTCTCCCCCACTCTCCTCTCTGCCCTATCCCCCCCTTTCCCCTCTATCCCTATCCCCCTCTTCTATATCCCCCCCCCTCTGTCCTTGCCCCCCCCTTTCCTCTTTTATCCCTATCCCCCTCTTCTATATCCCCCCCTCTGTCCTTGCTCCCCCCTTCCTCTCAATCCTTATCCCCCTCTTCTATATCTCCCCCCTCTCTGTCCTTAACCCCCCCTTTCCTCTTTATCCCTATCCCCCTCTTCTATATCCCCCCTCTCTGTCCTTGCCCCCCCTTTCCTTTCTATCCCTATCCCCCTCTTCTATATCCCCCCTCTCACTGTCCTTGCCCCCCCCTTCCTTTCTATCCCTATCCCCCCTCTTCTATATTCCCCCCCCCTCGCTGTCCTTGCCCCCCCCTTTCCTATCTGCCCCTATCCTCTCTATCCCTAGCCCCCCTATTCTCTGCCCCTATCCCTCTTTTCCTCTCTATCCCTACTATCCCCCTCTTCTATATCCCCCCCTATCTGTCCTTTCCCCCCTTTCCTCTCTATCCCTCTCTTCTATATTACCCCCCTCTGTCCTTGTGCCCCCCCCCCTCTTTCCTCTCTCTCACTATCCCCCTCCTATCTGCCCCTATCCTCTCTATCCCTAGCCCACTCCTTTCCGTCACTTTTCCCCTCCTCTCTGTAAGGCCCCCCCCCCGTCCTTATCCTCCTCCACCTGACTTGACAAAAATTGATTTGTCACTTGGCTTTTGTCAAAGGAGCTCGGCAGAATGTTGTCAGCTGAACAGCGCCTGCGTCCAATCAGATGTGATAGCCGCAGGTACCAGCTGTCCAATAGCTCGGTACTGTGATGGGTAGCATGGATAGGTTCATTAAGGGATTTCTCCGTTTCAGACCACGGGGCTGGAGGTGAGAAATCTTAACAGGTATGTCCAGCTTTACCTGGAGATCCTGCCAGTAACAGCACTTCCTGTTGCAGGCTGACAACACTAATTCGTTGCCTCCCAATGAGCACCAGTGTTGTCAGCCCGCTGTGTGAGTTCCTTCAGATGCCTATTGGGTTGTCTATCTGAGGGATGGGATGGGTCAGCATCTGAAAGAATGCACATGGCAGGCTGACAACAATGCTGCTAATTGTAAGGCGGTGGCTTAGTGTTGTCAGCCTTCAACAGGAAGTGCTGCTACTGTCAGGAGCTCTGGGTATGAATTTGTGCAAAAATATTTTCTTAGGAAACTTGTGAGGTATGAGGCCAAACGTAATGAAAACACAGAAACACTTTGAAGGCCATGTACAATGCAATTGAAGAATTTTTGACCCTCTTTTAGGATGGAGAAGAGGAAACACATTGAGGGGTCCACACATCTACCAGACGGAGAGGATTCTCAGCTGCCATAAACAAGTGTAACTTTGATTGCTGACAAATGCCCCCACTAATGAGCATCAACGATCGGCGTGCTGAGAGATGGCAATTATCCTGCTAAGTGGGGATTATGAAAGGCTCCTTCACCACATTAATTATACCCGGGAACGGCTTGGCACGTCTCTGAGATCTGCCGTGTAGACACTTGGTCAGGATCCTCCACAACAAGATGAAGAGGAATCATCATCAGGGAACTCATCTACTTTCATCGTAAACTTGTGGCCTGGACGCTTTCTCATGACCCAATAATATCATCTGGAACACCCAATGGTGACCCATAAGTATAGAGTCATAGGAAAACTGTGTTGTGGGTGGAGGCCACTTGTGGGTTCTATGGTGTAGTGTGCAGGGCCCTCACCTATAATACATGAAGGTTATAAGTTCAATTCCCATGTGGTTATAATTTTGGGCTCAATTTATGAAGAACCATGTAGACACTTGCACAAGAAGGTACAAGGGGCCCGTCATCAGAAGACTCCTACTTTCATTGTTGATCCATACATCTAGTCATATGAAAGCTCTCGTGGTGGCCAGAGGCCACTCATGGGTTCTATGGTGTAGTGTGTAGGCCTCCCACCTATAATACAGAAGGTTATATGTTCAGATCCCATGTGGTTATAATTCTGGGCTCTATTTATGAAGAGATGTGAGATTCACCATGTAGACACTTGGATAGACTCTTCCACAAGAAGGTAAAAGGGACCCGTCATCAGAAGACCCTTCTACTTTCACTGGTGACCCACAAGTCTGAAGTCAAAGGAAAACTGTTGTGGGTGGAGGCCACTTGTGGGTTCTGTGGGTGTGTGTGTAGGGCTCTCACCTATAATACATGAAGGTTAAAAGTTTAATTCCCATGTGGTTATAATTTTGGGCTCCAATCTATGAAGGACCATGTAAACACTTGGATAGACTCTTCCACAAGAGGGTACAAGGGACCTGTCATTGTTGACTCATACGTATAGAGTCATAGGAAAGCTCTTATGGTTGCTAGAGGCAGCTTGTGGGTTCTGTGGCCTAGTGTGTAGGCCTCTCACCAACAACACAGACGGTTGCAAGTTCAATCCCCCCAATGGTTATAAATTTGGGCTTCATTTATGAAAAACTGAGATCTGCCAAGTAGACACTTGGCCAGACTCTTCTAAAGAAGGTGTCCCATCATCAGGGGACTCATCTACTTTCATCATAAACTTGTGGCCTGGACACTTTCTCATGACCTTATAGAATCACCTGGAACACACAATTGTCTGTCTTAGATGTTCAGGGCCTTTATGTGGGAGGTTTGTACACAACACCAACAGACTGACGGGGGCGCTATAAACAATATGAACAACTTATAACCACAAAGGCATAATGTGGAGGAGACCAGCCAATGCACCATGGTTATACATAAACTGGTATATTAATAATAAGTACATGAAGGTGAAAAAGTTCTTCTGATATATCAACGCAAAATTGTTGATGCTAAACAGGTGCCATCAAAATCTATCAATCCACCTCAAGGGAATTTCATAGAGACAAATACAACTTTAATTTCATAGAGACAAATACAACAGGGCATGGCTATAAAGCAGAGAATCTGACATTCAGCAAACATTCTCTATGGGGGAATGGTCCTGGTGTACGTGTTTAAAATGGCAGAGATATGGATGGGAGAATAATGGTGATCTGCTGGATGGTGGATCATAAGTGTAAAGTCATAGGAAGGCACTTGTGGAGGCCCCATACAGCTTCTATGGTGTGGTGGTTGGAGGCCATATACAGCTTCTATGGTGTGGTGGTAGGAGGCCCCATACATCTTCTATGGTGTGGTGGTAGGAGGCCCCATACAGCTTCTATGGTGTGGTGGTAGGAGGCCCCATATAGCTTCTATGGTATGGTGGTAAGTGGCCCATTACAGGTTCTATGGTTTGGTGGTAGGAGGCCCCATACAGGTTCTATGGTATGGTGGTAGGTAGCTCCACACAGGTTCTATGGTATGGTGGTAGGTAGCCCATTACAGGTTCTATGGTGTGGTGGTAGGAGGCCCCATGCAGGTTCTATGGTTGGTGGTAGGTGGCTCCACACAGGTTCTATGGTGGTAGGTAGCCCCATACAGGTTCTATGGTGTGGTGGTAGGAGGCCCCATACAGGTTCTATGGTATGGTGGTAGGTAGCCCATTACAGGTTCTATGGTGTGGTGGTAGGAGGCCCCATGCAGGTTCTATGGTTTGGTGGTAGGTGGCCCCATACAGGTTCTATGGTGTGGTGGTAGGTGGCTCCACACAGGTTCTATGGTGTGGTGTGTAGGTTTCTTACCCATAACACAGAAGGTCATAAGTTCGAATCCTGCATGGTTATCATTTTGGACCTAATTTATTGTGAACCATGGAAACCCCTAAGATTTCACTTTACTGTGGTCAGTAGTAGACAGTTTCTGATTGGTTACTACAGGTTGATGAACTTTATGTGTCCTTCCACTATCTTTTCTGAACAGGTTGTTTTATGCATTATGTTTTTTATCCCTTTGACCTTCACGGCAGATTGAAGCCTAACTTCCTACACAAGTCAGTGGTGTGTAGGGATGGTAGGCTGTTCTTTTGTATATTAGGTTGGTAGTTCAACTCCAGGAAGAAGGTTTTTTTTTATTTTTTTTCCTCTGTAGAACCTACATTTTGAGTCATTCATGGAGCAATAACAACAGTGAACACAGATTCAAATGTGCAATTTAAAAAAAAAAAAATTAAACCTTTTTGTTTGGAATGGTGGTGGAAGCGATATCTTTAAAGGTATAATTCTTGAAAGCAGAACCCTCCCGAAGCTGCTGTGGTATACTTGGAAGAGCTCTGAGCTACAGTATAGAACTTTGAAGGTTCAAAACCCCCCCACCGTCACCCCAAAAATGTTATTTTTTTTTTTTTTTTGCCTTTACTTTAGATGCGTTAACCTATAATATCGAACAACTGTTGAATGTTGACTTTTCAGTTCAGTGACAGGCTGGGCTATCGTTACTTTGACCATGTTTTCATTTATTTTTCCTTCAAATGACCCAATGGGAAGCAGTGCCTCTCACCAGCACCTGTGGTGCATGAGATAAGGGCATTTTATATACTAGTATGGTGGGTTCTTGGTTCAATCCCTGCTTGGATTTTGTCTTCAGTTTTAAGACTTTATGCACTATGAACCTTTTCCAAGGTACACAGGGTCCTGTGAAGGAACAGTCCATCAGCTGGCTCTGTGGCTCAGAATGTATGGCAGCAAATGTCAATACAAAGCATTGTGGGTTCAAGCCCAGAGAGTCACCACACTATAAGCTGGCAATGAAGAGACAATGGCTTGTGGGGCAGAGCCATCCATGTGAGATGTTACAGTGCGGACCTTGTAACTATGTCTGGCATCAAGGTGCGGACCTTGCCAGCATGGAAGTCAATGAGACTGGTATGAAGCACCACCATGGGAGATGTTAAGGTGCAGACCTTGTAACTATGTGAGAGATGGTGTCTGGCATCAAGGTGCGGACCTTGCCAGCATGGAAGTCAATGAGACTGTGGTATGAAGCACCACCATGGGAGATGTTAAGGTGCGGACCTTGTAACTATGTGAAAGATGGTGTCTGGCATCAGGGTGTGGACCTTACCAGCATGGAATTCAAGGAAAGTGGTATGAAGCACCACCATGTGAGATGTTAAGGTGCAGACCTTGCCAATATGTGAAAGTTGGTGCCAAGCTGTGGACCTTGCCCCCATAGAAAGTGGTATGGCGCACCACCAATGAGAAGCAGAACTGGAGCTGTGTGTAGATCCTCAATGATAAGGATGGTACCATGAAGTGAAGGCCACTGCAACTGCACCAAGTGACCACTCCAAACACCCAAGTGAGGTGGACAAGCAAGGAGGATGCATGCAAGGGGGCAGTAACCAAAGGAACACAAATCCAAGAAATTTTTTTGGTGGAAGCTTTTTTTTTTTGTAAATTTCAGCAGCATGGCCACTCACCTTCACCTCACCTTCACCTTCACCTTCACCTTCTTTCTGGCTCATATCACTGACCAGACTGGCCCTCACAACTTCTCTGGTCCACACCAGTCACACCTTTCTGGCTCATATCAAGGTGGCCTTTGCTCCCACCACACCATCTCTGGTCTGCACCAGTCCAAGCCACCTTTGCTGGGATTTGAACTCTCAGCCACCACCCATCAGCACCCAGCACACTGAGCCACACACTCAGCTAACAAATTAGACACAAGCCCAACCATATCATGGATTTCTCGTTTAACGTGATGGCTTCAAAAACAAACCTCTTGCCAGGAGGAGGATTTGAACCAAGAGAGCACTGCACTGTAGCATGACAGACCTACCACATGAGCCACACAAACACAACAGCAAACAAGCCGCTCAATGAATTCATTAGCTGAAAATATCCACTTGACTGAGGATTATAAAAAGGAAAGGAACATGGACTTGAACCCAGAAACACAAAAGCCCTACAAACCACCCCATTAATAGCATGAGCCACAAGGCCAACCAGAAAAAAGCCTGTGGTCAATGTGTAAACTAGAATCAATGGTGTCTAAAGAGCCCACAAGTGATTTGAACTCACAGACGTGAACTTTCAAGGCCAATTTGCTAACCACTGAGCTACAGCCAGGACACAGAAACCAAGCCTTTCCTTTCAACAACTTCATCCATTCTCAGAATTGCAGCTTTCCCAACTTGTCATCAATTGACACAATCCAGCCTCGGACAGCAGCCTTGCAATTGTACACAATCAGTTCTACTTGTATTCCGGAATACATTCTAGGCTGACATGTTGCAGCTTTTTAAAGATTTAATTCTCAAATTGAGACAGTATTTTGCTGCCATCTTCTGGTGAGGATTCATAATGCAGCCTCATCTTGAATTCCTGTATACTGGCAGTATGTAAAAATACAAGTTTCTGATTTCTGAATAAATACATAATTAAAGTGTGATTTGTTTTCCACCTGGAGTTCTATCCTATTGATGTGGTTCCATTAAACATATCTAATTGGTTACCATGGTTTTCTGCATTTTTGCATTACCATACTGGTTATTTCAGGTTCCCCGTGGACGGTATTGCAGTCACCCTCCCCTGGGTGAGCCCCAACAGATGGAGATGTATTCACATAGAAGATCCCAGAGACATGCCAGGCAGTTCCTGGGCATAATGAGTGTGGTGAAATAGCCATTCATAATCCGCACTTCAAGGTCAATTACCATCCCCCAACCTATAGAACAAACTCATTAGAGGAGCAGCTGTCAGGAATGGAAATCACACACGTCTGACACCCCCATTGTGAAACCCCCCCATACACAGATAGAGATTAGTTATCAGTGGTTTATGGATTCTTGAATAATTGTGTGTCACCATCCACCACACCGTTCCACAATGACTTACCACTTGCCATCAACCCCCCCCCCCCCCCCCCCGTACCGTAATGACTTACCACTCACCACCCCACCGTACCGCAATGACTTACCGCTCACCATCCATTCCACCGTACTGCAATGACTTACCGCTCACCATCCATTCCACCGTACTGCAATGACTTACCACTCACCACCCCACCGTACTGCAATGACTTACTGCTCCCCATCCATTCCATCATTCCACAATGACTTACCACTCCCCATCCACCCCACTGTACTGCAATGACTTACCGCTCACCATCCATTCCACCATACTGCGACTTACCGCTCACCATCCATTCCACCATACTGCGACTTACCGCTCGCCTTCCACCCCACCGTACCGCAATGACTTACTGCTAACCATCCATTCCACCGTACCGCAATAACTTACCGCTCCCCATCCACCCCACTATACTGCAATGAGTTACCGCTCCCCATCCATTCCACCGTACTGCAATGAGTTACCGCTCCCCATCCATTCCACCGTACTGCAATGACTTACCGCTCCCCATCCACCCCACCGTACCGCAATGACCGCTCCCCATCCATTCCACCGTACCGCAATGACTTACCGCTCCCCATCCATTCCACCGTACCGCAATGACTTACCGCTCCCCATCCATTCCACCGTACCGCAATGACTTACCGCTCCCCATCCATTCCACCGTACCGCAATGACTTACCGCTCCCCATCCATTCCACCGCACCGCAATGACTTACCGCTCCCCATCCATTCCACCGTACCGCAATGACTTACCGCTCCCCATCCATTCCACCGTACCGCAATGACTTACCGCTCCCCATCCATTCCACCGTACCGCAATGACTTACCGCTCACCATCCATTCCACCGTACCGCAATGACTTACCGCTCCCCATCCACCCCACCGTACTGCGACTTACTGCTCACCAACCATTCCACCGTACTGCAATGACTTACTGCTCACCAACCATTCCACCGTACCATACCGCAATGGATTACCAGTCACCTTCCACCCCACCCTACCCTACCACAATGGCTTACCACTCACTATCCATTCCACCATACTGCAATGACTTCCCACTCGCCCTCCTGCCCACCATACCGTACTGCAATGACTCACTGCTTGCCATCCACCCCAACGTACCGCAATGACTTCCCCCTCACCATCCAATCACATGGGGAGGATGGGGGTAGACAGAAAGAGCCAGAAACAGAGGGAGACTGGAAAGAATACAGAGACATCAAGAAAAATGAGAGGAGATAATGACAATGGTTAAGGCGAAAAGAGCAAAAGATGAAGAAATAATAGAAAATGGAGAAGAAGCATTAAGAGAGGGGAGAAGAAGAGAAAGGGAGTGAGAGAGAGAAAAAAAAAAAAGAGTGTAGAGGTGAGAAAGAGGGTAAGGAAGGTAAGAAGAGGGGAGAAGCAGTGGTGAGCAGAGGATGGGAAATGAGGCTGAAGGAGAAACAAGGGTAGATGGGCAAAGGGAGTTAGGGAAGATAAAGGAAGAGGAGAGGAGGAGGAAATGTAAAATGAGAAACGAGGAAGGTGAGAGAGTGGAGAGGGACGAGGAGAACAGAAAAAAAAAAGGAGAAGAGAAGGGGAGAAAAAATAAAAGGAGAGGTGAGGAGGAGGGTAGGGAAGGCATGAGGAGAAGAGAGGGATGGGGGGGGAGGATGGCAGTGGAGAGGAGAGGAAGGAGGAGGGAAGTTGAAAATAGAGGAGGGTAGATGGGAAAGGGATAGGAGGGGGAGAGAAGAAAAGAGAGGGGGGGGGTGTTGAGGGGAGAAGAGAGAAAGAAGAGGAGGGAAAGGGAAGGTGAGGAAGGGGGGGGGGAAAAGGATAGTGAGAGGAGAGGGATGATAGGAGGGGGGAGCAGAGAGGAGATGGATGAATGGAGGGGAGAGGTGAGTAGGGCAGTGGAAAGGAGAGCAGGGGAGATGGAAGAAGAGAAGGAAACGGAAAAAGTAAGGAGGGGAGTCGAGAGTAGAGGAGGGGAGATGTTGGTAGAGGGGAAAAGAATGAGAGAGAAGGGGTAGCGGAGATGAGGGAAGAGGAGAAGACAGGGAAAGGAAAAAAATGGGAGAAGAGGGACGAGAGAAAAGATAAAGGGAGGGGATAGAAAGAGAAGAGGACAGAAGAAGAGGGAAGGGATGGGGACGGGAGTTGAAGGTGGAGGGGAAAGGAACCAGAAAGAGGGATAGGGGGGTGGGGAGAGGAGGTAAGTGACTAAATGAGAAGGTATTGGGAGAACGAGAAAAAAAAAGGAAAGCGGAAAACTCGAAAGAGGCTCCAGGAACTACATGGGGAGGCAGCGGTGATCCGGCAGTTTTTTGCAGACAGGTATTATTAGGAAAGCAGAAAGCAGATCACTCAGAAGGGAAGGCAGTGATGGGAAGTGGTACAAATAGCCGGAGACAGACGAGGTCAAATCTAAAATCTGGTCGCCTGTTACCTGCTGCCGGCTGAGCAGTATGTGTGCCAGGTGTTTGCCTACTTCCGCTGATCGGCTCAGACACACACCCCAGGGGTTGTCGATCACACTGGCCACGGTGATGAGGGAGGCCGGCCACGTCAGTGCCGTCACGATTCCTGGACAGGAAAGGAGAGTCGCATTACAGAGCAACCTGACAAGGTCAATGGGACTTCAGGACAACCCATGCTCATCAACGACTTACCTGACAAGATGGTGAACTTCAGGGCCTCCTGGGCGACGATGTTCACCAGGCCATTCAATATGGCGTCCAGTGCGTTTCCCAATTCCATGAGGTATTTGGACTCCCAGGCCAGACAGTACTGCTCAGTGGAGTGCAGGAGGCTCTGCCACGGGGCCGCAAAGCTGCCTGGACAAGAAACCATCACAGATTACAAGAGATCCATCCTTTCAGACATGCACTGCTATGGATAGTAATGGGGGGGAAAATCTATGTGAAATAATTATTTATCAAAGGGCAGTAAGTGGAAACCAGGAAGGACGCTGGCTGGGGTCTGTGGTTAATGGAGGTCACATGACCATTTTCAAAATATCTCAGAAAATGCGTCACTTACCATATTTGCCGGTAGACAGCCAGCCAGTGATGGCGATGGACATGTGCAGCTGGCGTCCTCCGGTCAGAGGTAAAAACTCAAACTCTTCTATGGCGCCAACTCGCTTCTTCATCTTGTAGCCTGGAGACAACAAAACATTTCCTGAAGGTGACAACAATGGGCCATGCCTGAGTAATGTGTGTTGAAACGGTCACTCTTCAATGGCAATCTTCAACGAAATACTAAGCAAGAGGGTGACAACTCTGGAGCACAATCAGGAGACAAGGACAGAGCGTTGTCACCCTATAACAGGAAGTGCCCGAACAAGGATTCTCATGGCAGAATCACCAAGGATGATTTTAATAAATGCGGCAGATTTAAAAAAAATAGTGAAGATGACTTTTGAAAGGATATTAAAATGTTAAATCTTCTATGAGTAATTGGGTTTACATCTACTTTAATAGAGAGTACCCATCATATATGATGTGTAGTATGACAGGACCATGAAGGGTGCTCAGTTGTATATTATGGCGGTGCGGGAGTAAGGCTCATTGATGGAGGGCGGGAGGGAAGGCTCATTGACGGAGGTCGGGAGTGGGAAGGCTCATTGGAAGGCTCATTGACGGACGGAGTGGAAGGTCATTGACGGAGTGGAGGGAAGGCTCATTGACGGAGGTCGGGAGTGGAAGGCTCATTTGACGGTGGAAGGCTCATTGACGGAGGTCGGGAGTGGGTGACGGAGGGCGGGAGTGGAAGGCTCATTGACGGAGGCGGGGAGGGAAGGCTCATTGATGGAGGGCGGGAGGGAAGGCTCATTGACGGAGGTCGGGAGTGGAAGGCTCATTGACGGACGGAGGTCGGGAGTGGAAGGCTCATTGACGGAGCTGGGGAGGGAAGGCTCATTTGACAGTGGAGGTCGGGAGGGAAGGCTCATTGACGGAGGTCGGGAGGGAAGGGCTCATTGATGGAGGTTGGGAGGGAAGGCTGGCCCATGTAGTTTGATCCAATAGAAGAGCTACTGGAACTCAAATTGCTGAAATTGTGAATGCTGGTTCCGGCAAAAAGGTGTCAGAACACACAGAGCATCGCAGTTTGTTGTGTATGGGGCTGTGTAGCCGCAGACCGGTCAGGGTGCCCATGCAGACCCGTATCTACAGCCAAAAGTACCTACAATGGGAACGTGAGCATCAGAACTGGACAATAGAGCAATGGAAGAAGGTGGTCTGGTCTGATGAATTCAAGAATAGTTTGAGGAACCCAACGAGTTTGAGGTGTTGAGTTGGCCTCCAACGTATTCACATTTTAATCCATTCAGCATATATGGGTTGTGCTGGAAAAACAAGTCCGATCCATGGAAGCCCCATCTCCCAACTTACAGGACTTAAAGGATCTGCTACTGTCAGCTTGGTGCCAAATACCACACAACACCTTCAGAGGTCTAGTGGAGTCCATGCCTGGACGGGTTATGGTGGTTGGTCATAGAGTTATGGCTGATGGGTGTATACTCACAAATTGTATTCGTTTGCCATTTTTTTATATGACCCCACCATTGTGTCATTTTAATTCCTTGAACTGGTTCTACAATATGATGATGGTGTGTGGATGGGGCCCAGGACCTTCCTGCAGGCACTGAAATTGCTGTGAGCATGAATAGGCATCATCAGTTCAGGGTGACCCCATTGGGCATTGCATTCAGCTCACATTGAGGCTCCTTCTTTGCACAGACCACCTATGTAAGACCCTAAATAATGGGTGAGGCCAGCAAAGTGAAGAAGCATATAAAACGGGTAAAAAAAAAAGAGCTGATCAGAATATATAAATGAAGAGTGGGGCAAAAAGGCAGAATATTTAAGGGATGAACCCAAAGCAAGTGCTTACCTGTGAGACCAGCTCCAGCTGCTCCAAACAAAGACGCCATGATGGCAATGCCAGCCGTGGACCCCAGGACAGCAGCTCCCGCACTTCCGATGATGGTGGCGGCTCCTGCAGCAACTAGCGGAGCGGCCAGTCCTCCAGTAAGACCTGTTTCACAAGAGTAACCAATGACATCACGCAGGGAGTGGTTAGACGGTGAAAACAGGTGTCCTGATCTAGAATATTTTATAATCCCCGCAAGGAAAGCACCAGCGTTAGAAGCCAATTGGTTGCCCAGAGGAAAAACGCTCTTCTTTTAGTCACTTAGGATCGCTATGCCAAATATCCCCCATTTCTGATCTCTTACCTATTACTGTACCACCTCCGACAGTCGCTAGGCCGATTAGTAAATATCTCTTTAACTTCCTCCGGCTCTCCTTCTTCCTGCGAGACGCCTGCACTGACCTGCAAGGAGAACGTGGGTTTGATGACACACGGAAACAAGAGATATTAAGTACTTATCACAAATGCTAGAGGAGAATTCAGCACCAGACCACTGGAAACCATTTACACTGTATGGGCAGACGTTGCGGACACCCGACCATCACACCTAAATGAACTTCTTGGACATCCCATTCCAAAACCGTTGCCATTAATATGGAGTTCAAATTTGTGAGGTCAGGTAGTGGTGTTGGATGAGAAGACCTGGCTCACAAATCATCTCAAAGTAGTTCAGTAGAGTTGAGGTCAGGGCTCTGTGCAGGACACTGAGTTCCTCCACACCAAAACTGGTCAAAATCAGTTTGTTCTTTGTGGAGATGGCTACACTCTTCATGGATGGCTTTCTACAAAATTTTGGAGTGGGAATTTGTGACCATTAAGCCAAAAGAACATTTGTAAGGTCAGATACTGATGTTGGATGAGAAGACCCACCAATGATGTCCTAATTTATCCCAAAGGCGCTCAATAGCGTTGAGGTCAGGGCTCGGTGCAGGATACTCAAGTTCCTCCACACCAAACTGGTGAATCCATGTCTTCATGGAACTGGCTCCACTCGTCTTTGGTAGCTTCCTACAAGTGTCTGTAGAAAGTTGTGTCCATTAAGCCAAAAGAACATTAGTGAGGCCAGGTACTTATGTTGGATGAGAAGACCCACCATCAACATTCCAATTCACCCCAAAAATGTTCTGTACGGTTGAGGTCAGGGCTCTGTGGAGGACACTGAGTTCCTCCACACCAAAACTGGTCAAAATCAGTTCGTTCTTTGTGGAGCTGGCTACACTCTTCATGGATGGCTTTCTACAAAATGTTGGAGTGGGAATTTGTGACCATTAAGCCAAAAGAACATTTGTGAGGTCAGATACTGATTTGGATGAGAAGACCCACCCACCAATGATGTCCTAATTTATCCCAAAGGCGCTCAATAGCGTTGAGGTCAGGGCTCAGTGCAGGATACTCAAGTTCCTCCACACCAAACTGGCGAAACAATGTCTTCATGGAGCTGGGTCCACTTTTCGGTGGTGGCTTCCTACAAGATTTTGAAGTGTGTCTGTAGGAAGTTGTGTCCATTAAGCCAAAAGAACATTGGTGAGGTCAGATACTTATGTTGGATGAGAAGACCCACCATCAACATTCCAATTCACCCCAAAGATGTTCTGTAGGGTTGAGGTCAGGGCTCGGTGAAGGACACTCCAGTTATCCACCTGGTCAAACCATGTCTTTATGGACCTGGCTTTGTACAATGGAGCAAAGTACCCTGTACACAGGGTCTTCACCAAACTACGACCACTAGGTTGGAGGGGCACAATTGTCTACAATGTCTTTGTATGATGGAGCATTAACAGGACCCTTCACTGGAGGCACCTGAACCCCATCATTTGGAGGGGGTTTACATACATCTGCCCATATAGTGTACGTTGGGAGGAACAAGTCACCTGAAACCAATGATGGAGTTAAGTCTTGACTTGCAAGGTTGGAGTCAGATTGGGTTGACGTGGATGAATCCGGCCTGATTATATGGATTTGTTTTATTAAAGAACAACAGTAGAATAACAGAGGAAACAAACAAGATAATGACAACGACAAAGCAGTGCGGTTCCTTCACAATGAGGTGCAGCATGGAGCTACCGAAGCAGAAGAAGTACTTGGGCCCCAGCGTGCGTTGCTCTCCCAGAGATACAATGAGCTCTTTGTATGGAGGAAAACAGCCGTACGGTGGGAGGATTTATGAGCCACACGGAGCTTACAGGGACCGGCTGTGATCTAAACATTAAAGGGGAACTCCAGGCATGTTTTACTATTAGATGTATGGTGCGGTGCTCCTTGGAAGGATGGGGGGGGAGGGGTACTGAACATTCTGGAAGATATGTTCACCTACAAAAAAAAAAGAGGCACTGCCCAAAATGCCAGTGAGATGTCTTTTGCAATTGATCAGTTAAATCTCCCGTTGTGGGAGGGGCAGAGACACAAGCTACTGCAGGGAAATCTCCCCATTGGGAGGGGCATAGACACAAATTACTGCAGGAAATCTCATCACTATGGGAGGGGCACAGACACAAATTACTGCAGGAAATCGCATCCCATGTGGGAGGGGCAGAGACACAAACTACTGGGGGAAAATCTCCCCATTGTGGGAGGGGGCAGAGACACAAACTACTGCAGGAAATTTCCCATTGTGGGAGGGGCAGAGACACAAACTACTGCAGGAAATCGTCCCATTGTGGGAGGGGCAGAGACACAAACTACTGCAGGAAATCTCCCCATTTGTGGGAGGGGCAGAGATACAACTACTGCAGGAAATCTCATCACTGTGGGAGGGGCAGAGACACAAACTGCTGCAGGGAACTCTCCCCATTGTGGGAGGGGCAGAGACACAACTACTGCAGGAAATCGCCCCATTGTGGGAGGGGCAGAGACACAAACTACTGGGGGAAATCTCCCCATTGTGGGAGGGGCAGAGACACAAACTACTGCGGGAAATCTCATTGTGGGAGGGGCAGAGACACAAACTACTGCAGGAAATCTCCCCATTGTGGGAGGGGCAGAGACACAAACTACTGCAGGGAAATCTCATCACTATGGGAGGGGCAGAGACACAAACTACTGCAGGAAATCGCCCCATTGTGGGAGGGGCAGAGACACAAACTACTGCAGGAAATTTCCCCATTGTGGGAGGGGCAGAGACACAAACTACTGCGGGGAAATCTCCCCATTGTGGGAGGGGCAGAGACACAAACTACTGCAGGAAATCTCCCCATTGTGGGAGGGGCAGAGACACAAACTACTGCGGGGAAATCTCCCGTTGTGGGAGGGGCAGAGACACAAACTACTGCAGGAAATCTCCCCATTGTGGGAGGGGCAGAGACACAAAACTACAGTGGGGAAATCCATCACTTCGGGAGATAACAGAAGCTAATGGGTGGTTCAGTCAATACAAAGCAGTTACATACCTGCATCTCGGTTCCTGGTTGGCAGTGGGAGAAACAGACAGAAGAATATATATTAAAGGAGCACTCTACCACAAGAACACTTGCCTTCTAATGGGAAAGGTCCAGAATTTGCTTCTTGCCGTGGCAGAAAGATTGCAATCACTTTATCGCAGCTCACTGCATCACGCCTCCAGGCTACGTTGCAGTGCGGACAGGAGACACGGAAAGCAATTGTTTTCTGTGTGTCCCAGCCATGACCTGCGTTCATCAATGAGGTGCACAGTGCCTAAGACTTTCTTTGTACAGCGCCACGGAAGATGGCGGTGCTACACAAAGCAGTAATAAATATTATTAATATGTGTTGGGGATCTGCAGTTCCTCGTTGGGAAGAGGCCAAGTCTGAACCATCTGCCATTTACATGCAGCTCTGGATAGAAACCAATCAGCTTCCAGGTTTTATTGTCAAGCAGAAGGTAGAAGCTGATTGGCTCTCATGCGCAGCTGCACCAGATTTTGCACTCTCCAGTTTTAGTACATCCACCCCAATGTTTTGTCAGATTTTGATGAGGTCACAGACAGAAAGAAAACCCATCAGAAATTGTAACTCTTCCTTCTTTGCAGATCATTTGTGATCTTTGTGCTATAGAAACATACTGATCAGCCATAACATTATGACCACTGACAGGTAAAGTGAATAATATTGATGATCTCATTACAATGACATTTGCAAGTGGGTGGGATATTTTAGGTAGCAAGTGAACATGTAGTCCCTGAAGTTGATGTGTTTAAAGCAGAAAAAATGGGCGGTAAGGATTGGAGGGACTTTGGAAAGGACTGAATTGTAATGTCCAGACAACTGGTTCAGAGCAACTCCCAACACTGCAGCTCTTATGGGATGTTCCCGGTCTGCAGTGGTCAGCACCAACCAAAAGTGGTCCAAGGAAGGAGAACCAGTGACAGGGTCATGGGCGGCCAAGGCTCATTGTGTGGGTGGGGAGGGAAGAGGGAAGGCTCATTGATGGAGGTGGGGAGAAAAGGCTCTGATAGAGGTGGTGGTGGGGGGGCTCATTGATGGAGGTGGAGAGGAAGGGCTCACAGACGGAGGTGGGAAGGGAAGGCTCTGACAGAGGTGGTGGTGGGGGGGCTCATTGATGGAGGTAGGGGGAGGTAAGGCTCATTGATGGAGGTGGGGAGAAAAGGCTCATTGATGGAGGTGGGGAGAAAAGGCTCATTGATGGAGGTGGGGAGAAAAGGCTCATTGATGGAGGTGGGGAGGAAAGGCACATTGATGGAGATGGGGAGGAAAGGCACATTGATGGAGATGGGGAGGAAAGGCACATTGATGGAGATGGGGAGGAAAGGCTCATTGATGGAGATGGGGAGAAAAGGCTATGAGAGAGGTGGTGGAGAGGGAAGGCTCATTGATGGAGGTGGGGGGGACAGGACTCATTGATGGAGGTGGGGGGGACGGGACTCATTGATGGAGCTTGAGGGGGAAAAGGCTCATTGATAGAGGCTAGGGGCGGTATCATTGATGGAGGTGGGGAGTAAAGGCACACTAATGGAGGTGGGGAGGGAAGGCACACTGATGGAGTGGGGAGGGAAGGCACACTGATGGAGGTGGGGAGGGAAGGCACACTGATGGAGGTGGGGAGGGAAGGCACACTGATGGAGGTGGGGAGGGAAGGCACACTGATGGAGGTGGGGAGGGAAGGCACACTGATTGGGGAGGGAAGGCACATTGATGGAGGTGGGGAGGGAAGGCTCATTGATGGAGGTGGGGAGGGAAGGCTCACTGGTGGAGGTGGGGAGGGAAGGCTCACTGATGGAGGTGGGGAGGGAAGGCACACTGATGGAGGTGGGGAGGGAAGGCTAATTGATGGAGGTGGAGAGCATAGGTTGGCCTGTGTAGTCCAATCCAATAGAAGAGCTACTGTTGTGAATGGGGCTTGTAGCCGCAGACTGGTCAGGGTGCCCATGCTGACCCGTGTCCACAGCCAAAAGTGCCTACAATGGGCACATTGAACTGAACCACGG